GACGGGCCTAGGCGAGCGGTGTAGACGCCATGAACGGCGAGTCCGTCGCCAGGTTTGACAGAGACGGCGCGGCGGCGGAGGTCGACACAGCGGTGGCAGAGGAGGCGGAAGCATGGCGCGGATCGAACGCGGCGTCTGATACCATGTTAGACAAATCAGGGTTTGGAATAATGCTCGATACCCTAAGCGGGTACGGCTGTCATGTATATATAGGAGAGAACGTACAGGTACATGTATTGTGTTACAACACGTAATATCTACAATATACCTAGTCTACAATATATCTACAAGGATGCGTCGGCGTCGCTGTTGTCTTCGTCTGTGTGATTGGGATGGAACAACTTACATTACATTACATGGGCTATCTCGCAGCACACACGCACAAATCACCAGGAAAAAGATACTTGTGTCGCCTATCAACAGATCAATCAATGCGACCAAGAAGTAATTATTCCCCATGATTAACTCCCACGTTTTAATTTATGAATCTAGATCGGTCACATCACCTTGATTTTGGTTTAGTACGAAATTGCCCTGCATGTGCATGGTAGTATAGCCTAGGGGTGTTGTGTGCACGTCATGGGAAGGGAGCAGACAAGCCGGATCCATAGCTGCGCGCCATGAAATTACATGCATGCTTTTTTCAGGGAGAAATTGCTTGGATGTTGCCAAGTCTTGATCAAGCAGACACCGCAATTAACGGTGCGAGTAGGTACAACTTGCATCCCTTCCTTCATCACGACACACCCTCGTGCCCTACTCAATTAGTGCCATTGTTACGTGCATGTACTAAACCTTGCATTCATACTTCCGAGAGTGAGTACATGCAACGTGCGGGCACGTACTACATATGCATGTGTGGTGATCATATAGGCACACATGACGCATCTTAAGTTAATCCTCTCCATACAATTTTGTCCATTAAGCAGTTAATTAGTACAAGACGAATAATAGCTATCAGGTGTGCATGTCATTTCCAGCTACATGTTGCTTGTTTTTCTTCACCTTGTAAGCCTCCCAATGTTTAACACTGCAAGGTTTATAACCCATGCGATCTAGTCACTTGCTCGAGAAGGTCTCTGGTAGGACTTGACCCGGCGGCAGCGCCTCCTTGGTGACAACTCAGCGGCGAATTCCTAGCCCGCCACCACCCCTACACCTCTCTCCCCTCCTCAAAATCAAAGGTGTCCGAAAAGCATGCCCGCTTGGCACCGATGAAGGGGTGCCGAGGCTCTTGGTGGTCCCTCTTGCATGGAGGGATATGGATGCAAGTCGGGACATCAGCCTCGGGTGGAAATTGTGTCGCTGATAGTGGTTGTGGCGTATTGGCTTGCCCCCACAAGTTTAGTGTCAAAGCTGAAGAATAGACGTGGCGTAGTGGTGCTCGCCTATCTCAGTTGGTACCAGATCATAGAAGCCTTCAGTCTCATCGGATCTAGGTGTTAGTCGGGGTGGATGGTGCAGCAAAAATCCACATCGATGACGCGGTCTTCATCTCCTTCCATGGAGGGTTGGAATTTTTGTATGTTATGTCCCTCCTCTCCAAATGACATTCTTTTCATTTGCAACTATGTCTTGCAACTTTCATCTTGTGTGTGATTTGAAATTGTGATAGTGGTGTCCGCAACGATCTCAGCTTATGTGATGGGCATTCCTGAAGTCCACCCATTCGAGCTTGGGTGCTAATAGCTCATTTGGGTTCTAGGATGAACCACTCCGAGTGTCGACAGTGATGCCCTTCAAATCAGGGCGACAAAGGAAGGCCCTGTTTGGCTACGTAGATGGATGGTGTTGTGGCCATGTTTGGTCAATTGGTGAGCGAGGACATGTTTCTAATGTAATGC